CACAGCTGGGGCGGTGGCCATACCCAACTGTGGTGACATGGAACTCGCCAGGAAAGGAAAATTATGGTAAGTATCTGTCATTAAATTTTCCTTTTTCCCTGATGGTTCTTAATCAGCACAGCTGGGGTGGTGGCTATACCCAACTGTGGTGACATGGAGCTCGCCAGGAAAGGAAAATTACAGTTAGTATCTGTCATTGAATTTTCCAATTTCCCTGATGGCTCCATGTCAGCACAGCTGGGGGTGATGGTCATACCCAACTGTGGTGAAATGGAGCTCGCCAGGATAGGAAAATTACAGTAAGTATCTGTCATTCAATTTTCCAATTTACCTGATGGCTCCATGTCAGCACAGCTGTGGCGGTGGCCATACCCAACTGTGGTGACATGGAGCTCGCCAGGAAAGGAAAATTATGGTAAGTATCTGTCATTCAATTTTCTATTATGGTTCCTAGTCAGCACAGCTGGGGGTGGTGGCCATACCCAACTGTGGTGACATGGAGCTTGCCAGGAAAGGAAAATTACGTTAAGTATCTGTCATTCAATTTTCCAATTTCCCTGATGGCTTCATGTCAGCACAGCTGGGGGTGATGGTCATACCCAACTGCGCTACCATGGAGCTCGTCAGAAAACAAAAATTACAGTAAGTATTTAATGCTGTCTGTGCTTTCCTGTCCTGGTGACAACCACACAACACATTTCTTGCACAGATGTCATCCAGCATTAGACAGCCCTGCTCTCCTCTCTTCCTGCATTCACATTCTTCACTGAGGGCAGCGGGAGCCATGGGCATCTGCTGCGGTCAGTCAAATCCTGTGACGAGGGAGTGGGAAGGAGGGGCCAAGTCTATCTCTCTGTTTCTATGGATGCACACAGCCCAGCTTGCAAATACACACACAAGTTCCCCCATAGCATATGACTTGCTATGGGGGCACTCATAGAAGAGGAGGAGCAGACAGAGCTGACAGGGGGCCACCAAAGAAGAGATAAAAGATGGCCATGTGCAATACAGTTGCACAAAATGGGTAAGTATAAACCTCTTCTTTTTATTTTATTTAAGAAAAAATTACTTGCCTTTAATATCAATTTAACTTATGCGCCTTCACTGGAGGAACTTTCCCATACAGTCTATCCTGGTGTCACAGAGACAGGACTTGTGGGGAAATTTGCCTGATAGAGACAAATTCAGCAATAAGAATCTAACAGAAACAATAAAAGGGAAGAGTTGGCCCTAAAGGTCAGCTTTAACTACTGTGACAATGCAGAGATGTGAAATGCTTTAATTTGTGCTTGAAATTTACCTTAATGTTACGTAATCTTATTATTGGGTGTATTCTCAAGTACTGACAGACCACCTGTGTGAAGGCGTTGTGCGTACCTTTCTTTCTCTGCTTTAGGCTGGCCACCCAAAATTTCTTCACCTCTCTCTGGGTGTGTCAGCCCCTGGGAGTACTCTATGTAGCTAAGAAAAAAAAAAACAGCAAATGTACAAACAGAACAAAGATATTTTTGTATATACTGTATGGTAAAAGGATTCAGTTGTGCAGACTGAGTAGAAAAAGCAATAAATCATATATTTTAAAAATAGATTAACATTTTTCATATCTCACTATGCAGCAAGATACTGTATATCTGAAATGTACTTGTATATAGTTATAGTTCATCTTTAGACCAGAACAAATACCTGCAGCCGCACCACCCACACAGAGGAATGCGGGACCCGCAGGTGGGTGCCATTAATTCCAGTGCCCGAACTGGAAACCGCAACCGTACTGGGAACCTCGATTCCCGTGCGGGCCGCGATTTCCCAAGTACTGGGACTTCTTCCCTGCGTATCTCGGGGCATGGGAGTCCATTCAAATGAATGGGCTCTTGTCCCCGCGCAAACTGTGCCTTGCATGGCCGCACATATGTGAACCAGGGGTAAAGTAAATTAAAGTATGCAACATTTTATTGCAGTTCCACTTTTGTAACTTCTCTAGGTATACTGATGTAATCCTTCCTATGTCCTTTTCAAAACTGCCTGGTAAATGGGAGAGTCTGTATACATATATTAATATTATTATTTTACAGGATTTATATAGCACCAACAGGTTACGCAGCGCTTTACAATGCAGACCTGGTCTTCAAGGATCTTGTTGGGTCTGCATATAAGCAGGTTGCAGTGCAAAAGTGCAAAAAAAAAAGTGACATAATGATGTTTTGAAGAATAGTGACAGAAAGACCGGTCAGCAGTCAAGTCAGGACTCCAGCATTGCATCACCAGTCCCTGCTCCCAGAAGAGGTGTTGGCAAAGGGACAAGAATGCTGGACTTGGTTGAATAGAAAACACTCAGTTAAAAATGTGTTTTGTTAATTATTAATGTATAGTAAGGCAATAATCCACGGTAATTAGAATATCACCTGTATTTATGCTTTAGTGATCTGACCTCTATGTGACTTATGCTTTTTACAAAACAGCCCCTCAGCAGGGATGTTAAAGCAGAACTCCAGGCAATAACTTCTTTACATGTCCTTGTTGTTTTCCTACCTTCACTAAACATGTCAGCCATCTTCTAGTTCACTCAGAAATTTCTCTGAAATAGCCTATTCATTTTCAAATCAAACCATTAATTATGTTTGGTTTCCTGTCTGTAAGGCCGGTGGCTGCTATTCCTCCTTTTTCCCCCAGCCACTGGTCTTGGCACATGCCTTCTGTAGTCCAGGAAGCACTGATATAGTTCAGCCCCACTTGCAGGGCTGGACGGACCGTGACTCTCAGACACATTCAACATGCACAGGCCTAGTGTACCCACCCACATTCACTACAATTCCCTGTGGTTGATGGGAACTGTAGTTTCCTTTTACTGGAGAGAGATGAGAGGATATGATGTAATCCCTGCTGTTACACCTCCTCTATGACAGAGCAGGTGCTGTTATTTTTTTGAATTAGAGAAATGAGGTAATGAAAATTCAATTAGATTTTTCTCCTAAATGGTATGGATTTAAAAATTTTTATGAAAGTGTTACTAAACCGACGACCCTGCATTCACTATATATAGCCTCCCACAGTACACGGAAATTCAATTATTTTAGTAAATATAAACTACTAAATACCTTTTCTCTTCAACAGTTAGAACAGTCTTGTGACTTTTATCAGTGTCCAGCAGAGCACTGGTTAAAGCTGTAAGAGGAGTTTTCATTCTTCTATAGTAGGATCCAGGACCCCTGACCTCTGCCTGGACATTGCTGATTGGTCCTGTGTTGATCACATGCACTCTCCCAAGAAAAAAAAACCTTTCTAGCAATACACACACCAAACTGAGCATGTGCAGAGTGACTCCACACAATATGTCTTATCAGGAGATAAGAGGGGGACACTGGAAGAAGGGGAGGATCAGAAAAGTCAGGATCAAACAGCATTTTTACATAATTCAGAGGATTAACCCCTTAGGTTACACAGTAAGTATAACAAGCATGCTTTACTGCATATACAGAGCGATTTTACTGTTGTGGGTTTAGTAACACTTTAACTGTTTTGTGTAGGGGGGGTGTACTAATGGGTGATATTTTGCCTGCAAAATGACCAATTTCTGTTTAGATGAAGTTTTGCTAAATTGTAAACTTTCAGTTTTGCTTAGGTGCTTATTTGAAAAAAAAAATGATCTTGGTATTTAGGGCAGTTAATTTAATTTTATTTATTTATTTATTTTTCATTTAATAAATTATTTGTATAATTTAGATTTTCTGTTTTACTTTTGCTTACTTTTTCTGTTTTTTTTTTTCTGTAAATAAAGCTAATTAGAGACCATTTTTATCACAAGAGCAGGTTCAGAATAGTTCAAATGAACTTCTGTAACACCCAGGAGCAATGTAAAGCCTTTTGCACCCTTAAAAAAAAACACCAAAAGCAATTAAATTTTGCTTTTTCAATTGACGCTAATTTATTTTGCCACAATCTACCATTTTAGTTGAAATTCTGAGAAACTAAAAACTCTCGATTTCAGTCATTTATAAAGCTGACTAGGGATAAGGTAAGGTTCAGGATGAGCTCAGTTTGGCCTGAACCCGTGGGAAACTGTCACGTGATAACAGGCTTCCAATCCACTCTGCTCCAACTATGAAATTCCCCACCTAAAGCTGCATATAACAGAAGAGTGCATACTGGACCTTGGTTTGGCTGCTATTACTTGAAATTTGGTTAGCACCAGGAACTTGTATTGATCTCATTGGTCTCCTGTCTTCATGTTGTACATTATTTGTGGATTTTATATCATGATCTATCACAGCGGTCACTAAATGGCTGGCTGCGGTCCAAGAAAGACCCCAGCAGCGCTCCTTTCTGGACCACCAGCCCACCAGCCCGCAATGACAGATCCACCACTGAGCAGGGCGGTCATCACGGCAACATGACATCATGTGTGCACCCTGCCCCTTGCAGCTCACTGTCTCTCCGGCTCCCACTCCCTGCTTGTACACAAGTGTCCTTCAGCAAGGATCCCGTCACAGCTCCTGTCTGCCCTCAAGGTAGGGTGTAGTCTTACAGGGGCACAACATAGAATGTGCCCAACAGAGTGCCCCTTCACATAAATTCTCCCATCAGAGTGCCCCTTAATATAAATGTGCTCATCAGAGTGCCCCTTAATATAAATGTGCCCATCAGAGTGCCACTAAACATAAAATGTGCCCATCAGAGTGCCCCTTAACATAAAATGTGCCATCAGAGTGCCCCTTAATTAAAAATGTGCTCATCAGAGTGCCCCTAAACATAAAATGTGCCCATCAGTATGTCCCTTATTTTATGTTAAGGAGCACTCTGACGGGCACATTTTATGTTAAGGAGCATTCTGATAGGCTCATTTTATGTTAAGGGGGCACAACTGATGAGCACATTTTATGTTAAGGGACACTCTGATGGGCTCATTTTATGTTAAGACTCACTCTGATGGGCCCATTTTATGTTCAGGGGCACTCTGATGGGCACATTTTATGTTAAGGGGCACTCTGATGGGCACATTTTATGTTAAGGGGCACTCTGACGGCACATTTTATGTTAAGGGGCACTCTGATGGGCATCTTTTATGGTAAGGGGGAACTCTGATGGGCACATGTTATGTTAAAGGGGCACAAATGGGCACATACTGTGGAAAGGGGGAACTCTGATGGGCACATGTGATGGAAAGGGGCAGTCTGATTGGCACATGTGATGGAACGGCACTCTGATGAGGAATATGATGTAAAAGGGCACTCTTATGAGGAATATGATGTAATGGAGCACTCTGATGGGGAAATATGATGTAAAGGGGTACTTTGAGTGTAAGGGGGCACTCTGACAGGAATACCTGATGTAAGGTGGCACTGTGATGGGGGCACTCTGATGGGGACAACTGATGTAAAGGAGCACTCTGATAGTAACACCTGATGTAATGGGAATACCTGATGTAAAGTTGCACTCTGATTTAAGGGGGCACACTGATGGGCACATCCTATTAGGACCTTGGCCAGAAGAAAATTTTAGTGACCGGACCTCCTTGAATTTTAATTCAATACCTCTGATCAATCAGATTGTGTATTCCTGAACATGTTTAAAACTTTTTCCTGGATCTGTAAAATGCTGTATTTACTTATCTTTCAATAAAAATGTTATTGATAAAAAAAAAAGAAGAGCACGGATGCTGATGACATCATTGACCAAATATGGCCACATGGTCATATTTGGCCAATGACAATGTCTAATGTTACCATCATAAGTAAATTATGTCACCAGTATCTCAGCCCCTTTGTTACATGTGGCTACAGAGTGGGGAATTCTATGGCAGCAGCTTAACACAGGTTCTAGTGCTGACCACACATGTAATAATGTGATTGTTCAAGATAGTAAATGAAATAAGGATTGTATCTTTAAGAAACTGATTTCATTAGATGGGTGGTTGGACCACTACACAATAATTTTCATTGACGGGCCATTCAGACCACTGGGCTGGCTAACGCACAAATAGATACCAAAAAAAGGTGACTGTAGTGTTTTTGGCAACACACTGCAAGGATGACACACATGCACACTGGTTTATTGTAAATGCCGTTTTTCCTGACAGGAGAAAATCAGCATTGAAAACTCACCTAAGCTGCATGTTACAAACCAGGTTAGGTGAGTTTAGCAGAGTTTAGCGGCATTTGATGTCTGGGAGTTTATTTCATTAGCCAGAATTTTAATTCATTGTGGACATTGAAATTAATAAATGCTGAAGTGCTATACGAGCTTAGCGTTTAGGCGTGTTTGGCATTTTAAATGCCATTAAACTCTTGTTCTAAACACAGTTTTGTGCTTTCAGAGAAATGCCAGTAAACTCAGCTGCCTGTAAACTCCTCTAAATGACACTGGGATTGATTTACTAAAGGCAAATAGGCTGTGCACTGAAAGTGCATTTGCTCTAGATCTGAGGAGAACATGCCAGGAAAATAAAAAAACAGCATTTTTGCTTGCAAATGATTGGATGAAAGAAATCAGCAGAGCTTCACCTCATTTCAGAGCTTCTCTTTCAATCTAAAGCAACTGCACTTACAGTGCACATGCAGGTGCACTGCCGGTGCACTTGTAGTGCACAGCCTATTTGCCTTTATTAAATCAACTGCCATGTACAGGTGAAACTCATAAAATTAGAATATTGTGCAAAAGTTCATTTATTTCACTAATGCAACTTAAAAGGTGAAACTAATATATGAGATAGACTCATTACATGCAAAGCAAGATATTTCAAGACGTGATTTGTCATAATTGTGATGATTATGGCTTACAGCTCATGAAAACCCCAAATCCACAATCTCAGAAAATTAGAATATTACATGCAATCAATAAAACAAGGATTGTACATAGAACAATATCGGACCTCTGAAAAGTATAAGCATGCATATGTACTCAGTACTTGGTTTGGGCCCCTTTTGCAGCAATTACTGCCTCAATGCGGAGTGGCATGGAAGCTATCAGCCTGTGGCGCTGCTGAGGTGTTGTGAAAGACCAGGATGCTTCAATAGCGGCCTTCAGCTCTTCTGCATTGTTCAGTCTCATGTCTCTTCATCTTTCTCTTGGCAATGCCCCATAGATTCTCTATGGGCCCCTTTTGAATTACTGAAATAAATGAACTTTTGCACTATATTCTAATTTTTCGAGTTTCACCTGTATACATGTACAACTGGAGAGTGCAAACTCTGGTGCAGCTCTGCATAGAAACCAATCAACTTCCAGATTTTATGTGGAAGTTTAATTTTAACAAGCTGAAGTTAGAAGCTGATTGGCTACCATGCACAGCTCCACCAGATTCTGAATGCACCAGTTTTAGGAAATCTCCTCCATAGGATAACAAGGAGGAGTGTTCAAGGGCTTCCGAAAAAAGGCCCAATTGCTCCTAAAAACATCAGTTTAGCTGTTGCAGTATATATTAATGTGTTGCTCTGAGCTGCAATGCACATCCATCAGCAAAGTACACTGAAGTGCCATTCAGAATGAATGGCGAAGCAACGCGAGTTATGTGTTCTACACACAAAAGTGTAGATTGTAAGCTCTAACAAGCAAGGCCCTCTGATTCTACCTGTATTAAATTGTAATTGTAACTATTGGTACTATATAAACCCTGAATAATAATAATAATAATAATATTAATAATAGTAAAAGAGGGCCTCAAAAGGAAAAATTGAACATTGTGAACCAAATATTTTGCGCGTGTGTGAGTGTGTGTCAATTGGTTCTTTTCATTAGAAAGATTATTTAGACCAAATCTATGGTCATTCATTCATTTATAGTTGAATGCACGCACAACAATACAGACATTGGAGAGAGATTCTACAAATGTGTACATGACATTCCATTGTTATAACATAAAACAGCAAATTAGTAAAAGGATTAGTGTCATATTATAGTAAGTGAAGCAATGTTACAAGAATGGCACATTCAATTAAATGTTGCACGAGTGACACATACAATAATACAGTATTGTATAGTATCAACATTTGTACACCATAGTTTCCCTATGGAAAATCAAACATTTCAATGTGTTTTTTTTTCTTTTTAGAATTTTTTATTATTTCTTAGCAACATTAGTTATCTATTCTGTACTGATAACCTACTATCTCTATCAATTTACATATATTAATGTAAATGAGGCTTACGGTATAGCTTCTTCTGCAAAGGGATTACAGAATAACATCCACTGGTATTAACAGAGCAGTGTCAGGTTAAATAAAAAGTAGGCTGCTTTGTATCTTTGAGCAGTAATATTTCAACATATGACATACTTGTGACTAAGTGGGCAGTAGGAAAAAGCCTAAAAAGACAAGGAAGCCAAAATATAAATGCAGATAGCTGGAACCCCTATAGTAAAGCGTATATATGGTCAAAATGTAAAATCTTATATTCATTTTCACATTGTATGTCAATTATTTTTATCCTATTCCTATTATTCCTAATGAACATGAAGTTTGTAAACTTACTTTATATAGATCCCCACACATTTACTTATATGAATTCTGTGATATGTATTCTGTATAACTTGTGAGTAGGTACTGCTGTGTCCAGGCCCAGACTGGGACAAAAAAAAGGCCCAGGCATTTTAGACTGAACAGCCAATTTCCTGGGGGGTGAGGTGGTGCAAAGGCATTCGCGGGGGCAGTTGGTCATGAAATATTCACAGAGTCGGTCCTCCGTATTGTATTATAAGGAGGCACTGTGATATAAAAGGGAATGTACTGTAAAGGGGCACTGTATTAAAAACAGTGCCCTTTTATAGCACAGTCCCCTTTATATCACAGTGCCCCTTTACATTACAGTGCCCCTAGAGATCTAATCAAAGTGCCCCCTATATATTCAAAGAGATGGCCCAATCCAGCAAAGAGACATCCCCACATAGCAAAACAGGATGTCTCTTTGCTGGACAGGGATGTCTCTTTACTGGATGGGGATGTCCCTTCTTGGACTTGGCTGTCTCTTTGCTGGATGGGGATGTCTCTTTGCAGGACAGGGATGTCTCCTTGCTGGATGGCGATGTCCCTTCTTGGACTGGGCTGTCTCTTTGCTGGATTGGGATGTCTCTTTGCTGGAACCCAACTGGGCAAAGAGACAGCCCAGTCCAGCAAAGAGACAGACTGTCCAGCAAAGAGACAGTCCATCCAGCAAAGAAACATCCCCATATAGCAAAGATATGATGTCTCTTTGCTGGACAGGGATGTCTCTTTGCTAGATGGGGATGTCCCTTCTTGGACTGGGCTGTCTCTTTGCTGGATTGGGATGTCTCTTTGCTGGACCCAACTGGGTAAAGAGACAGCCCAGTCCAGCAAAGAGGCAGCCCGCCCAGCAAAGAGACAGCCCATCTAGCAAAGAGACAGCTCCTCCAGCAAAGAGACAGCCCATTCAGCAAAGAGACAGCCCGTCCAGCAAAGAGACAGCCCATCCAGTAAAATGCTCATCCAGCAAAGAGACAGCCCATCCAGCAGAGACAGCCCCATCCACCACCGCTACACACCTGTCACAATGTGGCGGCAGCCACAGGTGAAGAACGGAGGCTGCCGTTCTCCCTTCATTGCAGCGGCTGGCTGAGGGGGTGTCCCTGGGTCAGTGGCGCTTCCTGCTTGTCTTCAGGAGCTGTCACTGCAGCTCCTCCTGTCGGCCCTGCTTTGGGCATAGCGGTCTGTATTAGCCCTGTTCAGACCGCGATCACCGCTTACCTCCCACTGTGTGGCCCAATCATCTTAAGCCTGGTGGCCCAGGGCAACTGGGCAAATGCCTGGTGTGCCCTATGGCCAGTCTGGGCCTGGCTGTTTCACACATTCCACAGAGACTTCTGAACTACAGAGTCAGTACAAGAATCATGGCTTGCAGATAGCAAGATACCATAGGATATGAAGTGAGCTAAACAAAAATGACAACCACCCCACTTTATAACTAGCTTTTAAAGTAAGATGTACATGTAAGTGCTTTGCACAGCACAAAAAAATAAAAGTGTCCCCAGCACACTTACTAGCAAAAAATAAATAAATAAAAAATACGCTGCCTAACAATTTGCATTAAAACAGCAATTTTGGTTGCACAATACATGTGGAAGCCACACCTCATCCAGGCCCCTCTGTAAAGTGTGGTTCTAACTAGAATGCTTAAAAGTTTTCATGTTGGAGCATATATAGTAATAGATATGATGCCTCCAGGTACAGCTGTTCTTAATTTATCCATTGCTAATTTGCTATATATGCCCCAACATGGACTTCATATAGTTCATGGAGTGAACATTTTTGCTGTCTCTTTTCAGTAAAATAATAAACTCTAATTTGGTTTCTAGATTAAAACCTGCCATGTGTCTCACTCCTAAACTGTGGCCTACGAAAGCTGCTTGCATTGTGTGTTTTGAGTCTGTCTATTATTTCTGGAATTTTTCAGAGAAATAATGCACTCCAATTTTTATTTATTTAAACC